TCAGAAAACCATTTGGGCCAGTTTCACCAACGTCAATTACTTAATCGACTGTGAAACTGACCAATCACATTTGCTGTTTAGTAGAACCATCTTTAAAAACCTACGTGATATTATCCTTATTTACTTAATTCTAATGACATGTATCATTTAAATAAAAGATTTGATATCAATAGTAGGCGCCAAGTTAAATTATAGTCTTTAAAAAAAAACGTCGTATTGTCCTCATTATTTAATTAAATCAATGATATGTATCATTTGTATAAAATATTTGATATCAATAGTCGGCGCCAAGTTTTTCTACCTTATTACTTACTTAATTTTAATGATATTTATCATTTATATACAAGATTTGATATTAACAGTCGGCGCCAAGTTAAATTCTACCAAATTAGAAAGTAAAACACAAGTGGTACCTTTAATCTTTAAGAACCCATATAGTACTATTATTTAAATTCTACTAAATTAAAAAATAAAACTCATGTGGTACTATCTTTATCTTCATACAACCTAATCTTCATACAACCGGGGTGGCCGAAGGCCACGTTATATTACGTTTATTAGTGTATTTGATTATCAGAACAATCACGATATTAATTATTAATTAGAATAATAATTTGTAAACATATATTTATGAAAATATACGTGATTGAAAACTTGTTAACTTACACTCTAAAATCTTGAATCAAATATAGTGTTCTAGGTAAGGGATCAAACTATAATAGTATTTTATATTATTATTGAAAGATAATGAAATGGAAATGAATACGTATATAAAAAATACTATTATACATATTACCATGAAAAATGACTCACATATTATTGAAAGTGCCAGGTTCATCAAAGTAAACATACACCAACAGTTGCCAACTTTACGTCTGACTTGAATACCTCATTGTATGCTAAGGTTTTTTTATCATTTCATTATCTTCCAATAATAAAGATGTATTACGCTAAAGTAGACAATATGGTAAAACAATTTAATAAGAATTCTTTTGAAATTAATATTGATCTTTTGTGATTTATTTTTAGAATATAAAAAACTGTTATTTGATCACATAGAACACTGTATTTGATTCAAGATTTTGGAGTACATGAGAATTCTTTTGAATTAATACTGATTTTATGTGATTCATTTTTGAAATCTAATATATACCTACTGTTACGTCCTGTAGACTCCACGATTCTTTTCTTTCAAAGGATCTTGGTCAGCGTCATGACCAGAGTGAAATTTACGAGAAAGGCCCGAGATTCTTCCAATAATAAAGATGTATTACGCTAAAGTAGACAATATGGTAAAACAATTTAATAAGAATTCTTTTGAAATTAATATTGATCTTTTGTGATTTATTTTTAGAATATAAAAAACTGTTATTTGATCACATAGAACACTGTATTTGATTCAAGATTTTGGAGTACATGAGAATTCTTTTGAATTAATACTGATTTTATGTGATTCATTTTTGAAATCTAAAAAACTGTTATTTCTATTGTTACGTCCTGTAGACTCCACGATTCTTTTCTTTCAAAGGATCTTGGTCAGCGTCATGACCAGAGTGAAATTTACGAGAAGGGCCCGAGCGCGGATATCTGATAATCGAGGCCTAAGTAAACACCACGCGCTGGGAAACTCGTAAATGCCACTCAAAAGAAAAATAAAACGAGGAAAACAACTTGCGTACAAAGGGCTGACGGCGATAAAAATTGCGAAACCACATATTTCTAAGCGGCCATTAGATAACGAACACTCTAAGGTATCATCTGGGAACTCTAAGAAAACTAGCTTAAAAAAAATAACTGGCGCCATGGCCATTGTGCCAAATCGTAAAACTCTTAGAGAATTTCCCACAGCAATGTTCATTTGACATCTAATAAATGAAGCGCGGAAACCGACGACTCTTCTAGTCATATATTTTTTCTACAACAAAGCGCAACGTGGTCCCTACTGTAATTTCCTATGCATAAAACCCTCAAGAAAAATTGTAAATTACTTTATTTTTTTTAACTCCCCGAGAACACGCGAGATCAACCTCGATAGGACTAGCAAAAATCGTAAAATCCTTTATTCTCGGAGCTCTTCCTAGAAGACGCTTGATATCAATATCGATAGGAGTTAAGAAAAATCGTAAAT